ATTCCTAAAATTTTGAGGCAATTACCCCCAAAATCAATCCCAGCCTCCCCTTGTGGTATGGTACCTTGCAGTACAATTTCAGATAGATCCATACATTTGAACACAAGTTTTTGTCTGGAAACTAGAAAAATGCTTATTTTTGGCCCCTTTTTGGCCCCTTATTCCTAAACGTTTTAGGAAATTACCCCCAAACTCAATTTCAGCTTTCCCTTTGTGATATGGAACCTTGAAGTACAATTTCAGAAAGATCCATACACTTACACACAAGTTATTGTCATGAAACTAGAAAAATGCTTGTTTTTGCCCCTTTTTGGTCCCTATATTCCTAAAATTTGGAGGCAATTACCCCCAAAACCAATCCCAGCATTCGCTTTCTGATAGGGAACCTTGTTGTACAATGTCAGAGAGATCCATACACTAACACACAAGTTATGTCTGGAAGTTACAAAAATGCTTATTTTTGGCCCCTTTTTGGCCCCTAATTCCTAAACTGTTGGTACCATAACCCCAAAAATCAATCCCCACCTTTCTTTTGTGGTATTGAACCTTATGGTAAAATTTCATAGAGATCCATACACTTAAACTAAAGTTAGAGTGCGAAAACCAATGTGTCTTCGGACGACGACGACAACGTCATACCAATATACCACCACAAAATGTTTTTGCGGTCGTATAAAAATCCAAAATTTTATTTATCATTAATACAATGTCTTTTCAAAATCTATAAACTTATCAGTAACAAGAAATAATTGTAACAGGATGCTGTTACGAAGTCTCCCAAACAAAGCCCCAATAATTCGTCATTCCCATGGTCTCCTGACATTGGTCAAAGTCCAGTACAAATTGGTTTGTGATATGCATAATCAACGCCTATGGATTGACCCAGTATGTCATTCAAATCTTCTTGAAATGACTAATAGAAATATATATGGTTTAGGGGTGGATATCTCAACCGTTTACAAGTTCTCAAAAGGTAGGGGGTGTGATCCCTAGGGGACTCGCCCTTTATTTCATATGATTTGTTTTTTTTTTGTCCCATACAAAAATATATATGGTTTAGAGGTGGGGATCTCGACCGTTTACAAGTTCTCAAACAAGAGGGGGTGGGGGTGACCCCAGGGGACTCTCCTTTTATTTCATTTGATTTGTTTTATTGTCCCATACAAGAATATATATGGTTTCGGGATGGGGATCTTGACCGTTTACAAGTTTTCAAAAAGAAGGGGGTGGGGGTGACCCCCCTGGACTTCCCCTATATTTCATTTGATTTGTTTCATTGTCCCATACAAAAATATATATGGTTTAGAGGTGGGGATCTCAACCGTTTACAAGTTCTCAAACAAGAGGGGGTGGGGTTGACCCCAGGGGACTCTCCTTTTATTTCATTTGATTTGTTTTATTGTCCCATACAAGAATGTATATGGTTTCAGGGTGGGGATCTTGACCGTTTCCAAGTTTTCAAAAAGAAGGGGGTGGGGGTGACCCCCCTGCACTTCCCCTATATTTCATTTGATTTGTTTCATTGTTCCATACAAGAATATATATGGTTTAGGGTTGGGGATTTCAACCATTTACAAGTTTTCGAAAAGACGGGTGATGGGGGTTACCCCCTAGACTTCCCCTTTATTTCATTTGATTGGTCTAATTGTCCCTTACAAGAATATATATGGTTTCAGGGTGGGGATCTTGACTGTTTACAAGTTATCAAAAAGAAGGGGGTGGGGGTTTCCTCCCTGGACTTCCCTTATATTTCATTTGATTTGTTTTATTGTCCCATACAAGAATATATATGGTTTAGGGGTGGGGATCTTGACCGTTTACAAGTTTTCAAAAAGAAGGGGTGTGGGATACCCCCGTGGACTTCCCCTATGTTTCATTTGATTTATCTTTATTGTCCCATACAAGAATATATATGGTTTCGGGGTGGGGATCTTGACTGTTTACAAGATATCAAAAAGAAGGGGGGTGGGGGTTACCATCATGGAGTTCCCTTATATTTCATTTGATTTGTTTTATTGTCCCATACAAGAATATTTATGGTTTAGGAGTGGGAATCTCAACAGTTTACAAGTTTTCAAACAGGAGGGGGTGGGGGTGACCCCAGGGGACTCCCCTTTTATTACATTTGATTTGTTTTATTATCCCATACAAGAATATATATGGTTTAGGGATGGGGATCTTGACTGTTTACAAGTTTTCAAAAAGAAGGGGTTGGGGTGAACCCAGGGACTCCCCCAATATTTCATTTGATTTGTTTTATTGTCCCATACAAGAATATATATGGTTTAGGGGTGGGGATCTCGACCGTTTACAAGATAAAAGCACATTCTCAAATTGAAGGGGGTTGGGGGTAAGAATATATATGGGTTAGGGAGACTTAATTATCTACAAAATGTCTAATAATGAACAGTAAATTTCAAACTTCATTTATACAGTCCTACCAGTAAATTTCAAACTTTATATATACAGTCCAACAGATCTTATCAGGAAACAGAAAATTTTCAAATAAATCTGTCACTCCAATGATTATCATATGCTAAGATATTTCCCAGGTCTAATTAAGGATGTTCGCTACTCTTGTTTTTGACTTTTTGTCAGATATTCGGAATCCTCTAGTTTTATCCATGTTAGTGCCAATAAAAATTTTGCCCGCTAACCCCTATTTTTCTTTTCATGATTTTATTACATATAGTTTTAATAGCCATATTTGAAAATGCTGTAAAATCCTTGTTATTTTTTCATATTCTTTTAAAGAAAAAGGGTGCCAATGTTAAATGTATGGAAAGTCTAGAGAGAATAATTTCCCGCCAAATTTTCAATGGCTTATATCTCGAAAACAAGCACACGGACCCTTAATTTTTTTCTGCTTTTTCAGTTCCTTTATTTATATACTATCAATTTATAACAGTCTTTTAAAAAGCTTGTTATTTTGAAACAGAGTAGCAAACATCCTTAATAATGAAAATCATACTTGCAAATCTGAAGGGTTATTTCCCTTTGAACAGAACTATGGTTTAACATAGTACTCTAACATTACATATATAATAATTAATAATGTAATTAACTTAAAAATGTCTAATAATATAGCTTATAATCATCACCACTTAGGAAATAGAAAATTTTCAAATAAATCTGTCACTCCAATTTTTATTGTGAGATAAGACATTTACTATATGCTTAGTCATAATATGATAACATGAGAAAAATATTTAAAAATACCACTTTTGGATATTAAAAATGGTGATAACTTAAAAAGGAGAAATACTAAAATCGTGAAAATTGAACTTGATCTTCATTTAGTCACAAGAAACAACATATCTAAATTTGAAAAAAAATCACCCCAGCGTTTTCATGTTATTGAAGAGACATTGTTTGGCAGCCGCCCGCCCACCTGCCCGCCGTACATCCCCAAATCAATAACCGATATTTCCTTCGAAAATCCATTTAAAAAGTAATTTCTTATAAATTTTGATTTACAAAGGAACTATATGCAAGTGTATATCTAACATAAAGCAGCTGTTCGACCAATATTTCCTTAATTTAAGGGCAAATAACATGTCAAAAGTTGGCAGTAGATGATTAAAATGTTGTATAAAGTTTCTGCAAGTCATAAAAACACATAATTAGATTCATGATATGTCTTCAACTAAGAATTCTGCACCATCACAAAATCTGGAGTGATCATGCCGAGATGGATCTAGCATGGCTGAATCAAAAATGAAATTTAGGAAAAATTGTCCATTAAGGGCAATCACTCCTGTAAGTAGTCTGTTTTAGTAACATGTTGCTCACCTAGGTCAATGAGCATCATCAACTAAGGACTCTCTCCAACATTGTAAACTAGAATGTAATTCATGTCAAAATCTCTTTATTGTTGATCTTGTAATGCTGATCATTTTTTTCTGTTTACAGTTTCTCTTTATCTTTTTTAGTTTTGCCCAAAACACAAAAACAGGTAAAAATAAATGGGGAATGTGTCCATGGGACACAGATGATGCCCCCGCTTGCATATCATATAAAGTTATAAAGGGACATGACTGAAGAACGGTAAAAGTGACGCTACCCAAATTTGTTATTGATCTGAATTTTGTAGTAATAAGTATTGTGTATAAGTTTCATAACATTTGGTTGAGGCAAACTTAAGTTTGAGAACGGAAACGAAAAATTCAGCAATTTTTCCTTTTGTAAAAGGGCATAACTCTAGAACAGTAAAAGTGACACCACCAAAAATCAAAATTGATCTGTATTTTGTGGTAATAAGCATTGTGTATAAGTTTCATAACATTTGGTGGAAGCAAACTTAAGTTAGAGAACGGAAACGAAAAATTCAGCAATTGTAAAGGAGCATTACTCTAGAACAATAAAAGTGACACCAACAAAATTCAAATTTGATCTGTATTTTGTGGTAATAAGCATTGTGTATAAGTTTCATAACATTTGGTTGAGGCAAACTAAAGTTAGAGAACAGAAACAAAAAATTCAGCAATTTTTCCATTTGTAAAGGGGCATAACTCTACAACGGTTTAAATGACGCCGCCAAAATTCAAACTTGATCTGTGTTTTGTGGTAATAAGCATTGTGTATAAGTTTCATATCATTTGGTTGAGGCAAACTGAAGTTAGAGAACGGTAACCAACTTTGGGACGTACGGACAGACGTACGGATGTATGTACGAACGGACAAGGTAAAAACTTAATGCTCCCTCCACTATGTCGGGGACATAAAAAATCATCTTTTCAGGACAATAATGTCTGTAAAGAGTCTACAAATGATTTTGGCAAAGTTTAAATTATTTGTAGATCTTTTTTGCTATTTAACTAAATTGTGGTCAAGTTTTGTTAAATTTGGTCCAGTAATTTCCAGGTAAAATTTTAGAAAATTAAATGGACAGCGACCTGGACACAGCACGCCAAGTGATGAGAGATGCTCACCTACCCCAGTGAACTAAAAAGGTCTTTGAATGTTCCTTTATTTAATTAATAGGTATTAATCAATGTTACCTAAACAGACTCTCTCCAAAGGTGAAGCTACAGCTAAATGTATAAAGACCATCACCAGTAAAAAACATTTGACATCTATTCCTTTCAATACCCCTGTAAAAACAAGAATGCTTGTGATAAAATGTATCGCGCCTGCTTCACTGATTATGATCAAATTTTTGTTGAAAATCTTTAAGATCAACTCTTTCAAGTTACTACAAGTACATGTATAACAGAAATTAGCCATTATCAATGATCCTTGAAAATATGCTATATCTCATGGTAAAATATCTAGCATAAAGGGCCAACCTGCTGTAAAATCAATATAAATTCAAGCCCCCATGAATTATTTCATAAACCCAGTCTATCTCAATAAGAATTATAACAATATATAGATGAGTGTAAAGAAGCACTCAACTTATATTTGTATAACAGACAATAAAAACACAGGTTCAAGTTTTTATGATGGTTGTTCACTAGCATCACCTTTTTTTGTCTTCATGGTTGTTTTTATTAGTCTGAAAGGCTAAGAATTTTTTTCTCTCAATTGAGAGTGAATATTGAGAAGACTTTTCGCTAAATACATATTATTATGTAGAACTTTCAAAAGAATTACCTCTACAGCTCTTCATAAGTTGTTCAAAAAATGTGTTCACATAGAATCTAATACACGTACGATTTAAAGATCGGACTTCTTCCAATTCAACCGGACATCCATCTGTAAAACAAATCCAAGAATTTAACAATCGAAAAAAGATTAATATTTATAAATATTTTTTAATATTTTTTTAGGAAGTTTTCCAATAGGTCATCTACTTAAAACATATCTAAGGTCAATATTTCTAAACCTTTTGATCTGGCTCAAGTTGGGAAATTCATTTCAGATAGGTGAAAATGTAGCCTTTTCATCAATTCCTCTGCCCATATTGTAAACTTGGATATGTATGATGGTTGAGACATTTTCACATATGTAGTTAAACCTTTGGGATATGAAGTGAGATTCATTTTTCCGTTATTTAACATACCCCAGAACCCTTTGAGATATGGCTTTTCCAGGTAAAAAGTTATCCTTTTTTCACACAACAAGTTCTTTGAATACATTTTACAACTCCATAAATATAAATTTTGTTCTGCCATTTTTTAATTGGATACTTAGGCCACACCAATTTTATTCCTAGTTCTTTTGATTTTCCCTCTCCTGTTTTGAAGAAATTGACTTTTCAATAAAAAACAAGCATTCTGTGAGTATTGCATGGCAATACATAGTCCCCTACCGGTTAAAAATTCATTGTATTGGAACAAAATTCTAACTTGATCTATAACTTGTCATGTAGTAAACTACATAAAAATATCAAGTCAAAATATTCAAGCATGACGAAAAAAACTGTTGAAAACTGATTATTTAAGTGAAATTTCTATGTCCAAAGACCATAACTCTGCACAAAATCATCATACCCGAACAAATTTCCAACTTGATCTGTAACTTGTCATGATAAAGCTATATACTAATTATCAAATCAATATCTTCAAGAATGACAAACAAACCTACCACTAAATTCTTAAAACAATTTACCAAAGAAAAGGAAAAAAATCCAAAATGTAATTTTAAAATTATATGCTCCGCTGGGCGAAGCTTGATACGACTCAAGAGATCGAACCCTGAACAGTTGGGGCAAGTATAGACACAACATTCAAGCTTGATACAGCACTGAATTTGGATTGTGATTAAATATTTGACACAGAATGAATGTGGTCTAAGAACTTAAAAAATTTTAATTTACCTTTTGAAACCATATCATTATTATTTGCCTTTATAAATACATCAGAAATAACCAATTTAAAATGGAAAATTTTAAAGAAAAAAAGGAAAAAAAAGGAAAAAAAAAATCCCCCCCCCCAATTTTTTTAACCCCCTTATGATTCATCACCCCCAAACTCCATCTCAGCCTTCCCTTTGTGGTATGGTATCTTGCAGTACAATTTCAGAGAGATCCATTCACTTGAACACAAGTTATTGTCTGGAAACTAGAAAAATGCTTGTTTTTTGGCCCCTTTTTGGCCCCAAATTCCTAAACATTTAGGGCAGTTACCCCCAAACTCAAACCCAGCTTTTCCTTTGTGATATGGAACTTTGTAGTACAATTTCATAAAGATCCATACCCTTACACACAAGTTATTGTCATGAAACTAGAAATTTGCTTGTTTTTTGCCCCTTTTTTGCCCCTAATTCCTAAAATTTTGAGGCAATTACCCCCAAAATCAATTCCAGCCTTCCCTTTGTGAAATGGAACCTTGTGGTACAATGTCAGAGAGATCCATACACTAACACACAAGTTATGTCTGGAAGTTACAAAAATGCTTATTTTTGGCCCCTTTTTGGCCCCTAATTTCTTAACTGTTGGTACCATAACCCCCAAAATCGATCCCCATCTTCCTTTTGTAGTATTGAACCTTATGGTAAAATTTCATAGAGATCCATTTACTTAAACTAAAGTTAGAGTGCGAAAACCAATGTGTCTTCGGACGACGATGATGACGCCAACGTCATACCAATATACGACCACAAAAATTTGTTTGCGGTCGTATAAAAATGAGTTATTTCCCTTAAAACAAAAATCTACTAATTAATAAGTATTTCATCAAAAATTTAATTCTAGGAAAAGGGCTTTAACTGAAAAAAGAGAAAAGCTAAAATAGTGAAAATTGAACTAGACCTGTAACTTGTCATGATAAAACAATAAACCAAATATTAAATCAATATCTTCAAGCACGAAGAAAAAAAATCTGGAAAAATTATTTGCCGGACTGACAGATGGAGTGCAAACCTAAAGTCCCCTTCGACTTCGTCGGTAGGGGACTAAAAATAATTATCGCTTCTGCAAATTTTTGGTCTGCATGCTGCTCCAAAATTAGTTTCTCATTGAAATTTTTTTTTCACATAGATGCTTTTCTGTTGCATATATTGCTCCAATCATTTCAAACGCATGTGTGATAAATCGATTTGTAAATAAAAGGTCAAAAATCGGGATGCCAATATGTAGTTGTGTCAGCTCACTGCTGTGGACAAGTAGTTATTGAACACAGTTACCGGGGGTATCCTAAATGCTTCTCGTTTTATCTTTGAAGACCTGTTCTAGGAGACAAAAATTAAAAATATTTCGTTAGATGATCACAATCACATCAATATTTGTTAGAACTATTGTCGTCCCCGATCTTTGTTTCAACAGGCATAGTCTTATCTATCTTGGAGGAAATTAATTGTAAATTCCCATGAACTTTTTAAACAAGAGGCTGTCAGAGTGACAGCAAACCGGATTTTCCTGCAGAGGTCAAACCCTGAACAGTTGAGCAAGTATGGACACTACATTTAAGCTTAAAACAGCTCTGAATTTGGATTGTGATTGAATATTTGACACAGCATAGGTTTGTGATATAAAATGAATGTGGTCAAAGAACTGAAATATTTGAAATTGGACATTTACCTATTATGGTCCAATATCCAAAATCTAAGTACATATTAGAATCAGCATATCAAAGAAACCCAAGAATTCAATTTTTGACGAAATCAGACAAAAGTTTAATTTAGGACCCTTTGGAACTCAATATGGACCAATTTGATAAAGGAGCCTACAATCTAAAATCTCTCAATACATGGTTAGATTCAGCATTTCAAAGAACCCCATAAATTCAATTTTTGCTGAATCAAACAAAGTTTAATTTTGGACCCTGATTTTGACCAACTTGAAAACTTGGCCCAAAAATCTAATATTTAAATACAGGTTTAGATTCAGCATTTGAAAGAACCCTATATATATTTAATTTATGTTGAAATGAAACACAGGTTAATTTTATCCATAATATTTTCTGTGTGCAAAGGGAAATAACTCAAACTGGATAAAAATTTTCTAAAATAAGATATGATGCAAATTTTCAAATTATAATCAATAATATAATAACAACAACCAGTGATGACTTCAAGTTCTCTAAAATTAGATATGATTTAACACTCAAACATTGTTTGAATCAGCATATCAAAGAACCAAAGAATTCAATTTTTGATGAAATTAAACAAAAGTTTAATTTAGGATCCTTTGGACCTCGATGTGGTATTATCTTATTAATAATGATAAATGTGGATAGTGTCCACATGTGGACACAGATGATGCCCCCACTTGCATATCATATAGTTATAAAGGGACATAACTGAAGAACGGTAAAAGTGACGCTACACAAATTTGAACTTGATCTGAGTTTTGTGGTAATAAGCATTGTGTGTAAGTCTCATAACATTTGGTTGAGGCTAACTTAAGTAGAGAACAGAAACTTAAAATTCAGCAATTTTTATATTTGTAAACACGCATAACTCTAGAATGGTTGTGTATAAGTTTTATAACATTTGGTTGAGACAAACTAAAGTTAGAGAACAGAAATGAAAAATTCAGCAATTTTTATGTTTATAAAGGGACACAACTCAAGAATGGTAAAAGCGTTGCTACCAAATTTCGTACTTAATCTGTATGATGTAGTAATAAGCATTGTGTATAAGTTTCATATCATTTGGTTGAGGCACTAAAGTTAGAAAACGGAAACAAAAAATTTGTACTTGATCTTAGTTTTGTGGTAATGAATATTGTGTATAGGTTTCATAATGTTTGGTTGGGGCAAACTAAGTTACAGAATGGAAACTAAAAATTTTGCAATCTTTCGAGTTATAAAGGGGCATAACTCAATAATGGTTAAAGTGACACTACCCAAATTGGGTCAACTTGATCTGTGTTTTATCAGTGGCAGTCAAAATTAAACATTGCGTTGTATATAAAGCATTTAATGTAGTTGATTCAATTATAATCATGGACAAAGGAAGATAACTCCAATTTAAATAAAAATTACTTGATATTTACAAGAAAATAAAAATTTTGCAATTTTTCCATTTATAAAGAGGCATAACTCTAGAACACTTTAATTGACGACACCAAAATTCAAACTTGATCTGTGTTTTGTGGTAATAAGCATTGTGTATAAGTTTCATAACATTTGGTTGAGGCAAACTAAAGTTAGAGAACGGAAACGAAAAATTCAGCAATTTTTCCATTTGTAAAGGGGCATAAATCTAGAATGGTAAAAATGACGCCACCAAAATTCAAACTTGATCTGTGTTTTGTGGTAATAAGCAATGTGTATGAGTTTCATAACATTTGGTTGAGGCAAACTAAAATTAGAGAACGGAAACGAAAATTTCGGCATTTTTTCCATTTGTAAAGGGGCATAACTCTAGAACGGTTAAAGTGACGCCACCAAAATTCAAATTTGATCTGTGTTTTGTGATAATAAGCATCGTGTATAAGTTTCATAATATTTGGTTGAGGCAAACTAAAGTTAGAGAATGGAAACGATAAATTCAGCAATTTTCCATTTGTAAAGGGGCATAACTCTAGAACGGTAAAAGTGACGCCACCAAAATTCAAACTTGATCTGTGTGTTGTGATAATAAGCATTGTGTATAAGTTTCATAACATTTGGCTGAGGCAAACTAAAGTCAGAGAACAGAAACCAATTTTGGGACGTACATACGTACAGACAAACAAGGGTAAAACTTAATGCCCCCTCCGCTACGGCGGATTAAGCATTTCAAAGAACCCTATATTTATTCAATTTATGTTGAAATCATAACGCTTTGGACCAACTTGAAAACTGGGCCCAAAATCAGAAATCTAAATA